CCCTCACCAGACGTTGAACCCACCAGTACCTTGACCTTGGATACCCAGTCGCCAGAACTGTGAGAAGTCAACCTGCTTTTCTTTGTAAGTGACCCCGTCTGATACTCTGTTATAGCTGCACAAAGAGAGGATCTCAGCCATTACAGATGTGGAGAATTTATTTCCCTGAGTCAGAAAGCCTGTGGTGGTAATGGAACACCACTCATCCATACACGGCCCCCAAAGGCTCAAAGTACGGGTTAGAGAACACGGATGGCAGAGACAAGAAATGCACTCAGCCCAGCTGGAGTAAAAGGCACTGAGCTAAGGGGACGGTGGTGACAGTCCCCACGCAAGGCGCAGCCTCTGGCTGCAGCTCCTTCTTGCCTCCTTTTTAATGATCATTTAAGTTGCTTGTTCTTGCAAAAGCAATACACGTTCAAGAGACACGTTAGAAAATATAAATAAGGAAAATAAAAAATATTCACAATCCTACCTCTTTTCTATTACTTTTCTGGCGCTCTTTGTCTATCCTTGTTACTTAACTCAGATACAATTATAATTTTAAAACTATTTTTCCCATATAACAAATATTCTATAATAGTTTTTGTTTGTTTTTTAATTTGAGAGGGAGGGAGGGAGAGAGGAAGCGAGCAAGCTGCCATTCTCTGGTTCATTCCCCAAATGCCTGCAATGGCTGGAGCTAGACCAGCCCAAAGTCAGCATCCAGAGACTTAAGCAGTTCTCCCACATGGGGGGCAGGGACCCAACTCCTGGAGCCATCACCTGGGCCTCCTGTGGTGTGCATCAGCAGGAACCCAGAATTGAGAGCGGAGTTGGGACTCGAATCCATTTACTCCTATATGGGATGCTGCTGTTCCAAGAGCCATCTTAACCGAGGCCAGATGTCCTCTCCTTTGCCACTGTCTTTGTGCTGTCTGGAATTCTGTTAGCTGGGACGACAGACAGGATGTGCTGCAGCTCTGGCAGCTTCCAGAGTGGTCATAGCAACTTACGCACCCGCAAAGTCTGCTGTCACTCTCCCAGCACGCTGTAGGATCACTTCTTTCAATCATTGCTAATTTGATGAATGAAAGCGCTCCTTATTTTAGTGAATAAGACTAAAACTTTCTGGTTGCTGAAAAGCTAATTGAAGTCCTAGCTTTTGCAAAGAGCCTTCAGAGATGAAGTGAGCAGAAGTGCTTTGTTACATCACTGGCTACTGATGTCTTAGTCTTCTTTTCCTACCTTACTTGCAAAAGGAACCCAGCGACTCCTGTCATTGATTTTTGTACTCTTATCATTGATTTTTTAATTGATATCTTTATACTGTTCCTGGCAACCGTTGTGAATGCTGTTGTATGCAACATGGAACAGTCTCAAGGTCTTTTTCCTTTATAAATGAGCCAGAGAAAGATGTGGAACTACCAAAAGTGCAGACTGCTTCCAGTCAGAATTCCGTGAGAAACTATCTTTGTCAGCTCTGGAATTCTTCTATCATGTGATAGATTTTGCCGAGGCAATTTTTTCTCTTTCTATGCATCCTTTACTTACAGAGTTAGGTGTCAGTTGCAGCAGTTCTGTTGGACAATTTTCTTGATTCCTGCTCCATCTTTTTTCCCAAAAGCACAAACAAGGAGCAGGCATTTCGTCCAGTAGTTAAGATGCCTGAACCCACATTGGAGGGCCAGCTCTGGCTCCCGGCTCCAGCTTCCTGCCACTGTACAACCTGGGAGGCAGAAATGATGGCTCAAGTAACGTGGGAGGCCCAGGTTGTGTTCCTGGCTCCTGGCTGCAGCCCTAGCTTCATCCTGGCTATTGCAAGCATTGGAGGAGTCAACTCTCTATCTTAGTCTCTGTTGCACTCTTTCTGTCTTTTTGCCTTTCAAATAAGTAAAAAAAAAAGACTAAAGAAAGATTAGCTATGAAGAAATTAGAAAGAAAAATAATTTTATACTTTATTGGTATTGTTCAACTTTCTTAGATTTTAGTGCTCAAAAAATTGCAGAGAAGAATTCCGAGACACACACTGCTTTCATGTTTACTGGTTGGACTTTTGTTTCTTCTTTCCCTATAGAGAAGAGTCTGCCCCAGAGAGCTGGAGTCCAGCAACAACGGAACACACCTGAATCCAATCTGCAGTTCAGAGCCAAGCCTACTAAACTCAGCGCACGCTAGCCCAACCCCAGGCCACCTGCAGGTACACGAGTGACAACAAATACTTAGTGCTAAGTGCCTCTCAGTCTACTTCACTCCACAGTGTCCTGTCTGCTCTTTTGTACAAACAGCTCTCTCTGCTGTAAACAGTCTCCCCATCTTCGCCCACTGCGAGGGGAATCTTTTGTTTACTTCTAGCTCCACATTCAAATGTCGCATCTGCCAAAGTGAAGTCTTCCTGGACTTGCCTTCCTCTACCAGGTAAATAATAAAATAATGGTTGTAAGGGATTTTAAAAAGCCTCCCATCAATCTGTTCTGCATTCCTAGACATGTTCACCAAGGGAATACTTCATCTCAGGTCTGGGATTGCTCATGGTAAAAGCCCATTCTTCCAGGGACACCACCTGTTGTTTTATCACTTAACTCAGTTCTGAGTCTTTACTTGAGGTGGTGTCAGAGCCCACAGGGTGGAGGCTCAGGCCCATGAGGCTGCCCTCACTTCAGATGCCAGGGGCAGGGAGTAGGTTGCCATCTATGCTTCCGATCAACCACCTGTAAGTCAGGGTTCCCATGACCCCCTTCTCAGGCTCATTGATCCTGCTAAGGTGGCTCACAGACTGTTTCCTGGTCTATTATAATCAATAAAGGATTTGATCAAAGCCTAGGATGGGCAGCCAGATGAGAGATGCTTAAGACAAGATGTGCAGGAAGGTGCATGGCACTCCCAAGCCTTCTCCAGGAGTGCCTCCACCCAGGAAGCTCTACCTTGGTCAGCAACCCAGCAGCCCTCCAAACCCAGATGTCAGGGGTTTGTATGTAGGATTCATCATCTAGGTGTGATCAATTATTAACTCAACCCTCAGTGCCTCTTCCCTTCCAGGAGGATGAAGGATGGAACTGGAAGTTCCAAGCTTCTGTTTTTATTTTTAATTTTACCCAAGCGGTAAGGGGAGAGAAGGAGGGAGGAAATAAGGGTGATTCTATACGCTTGTACATGCACCTTGCCTCACTCACCTGTCACTCACATTCCTCTTCCAGGCAGAGGCTGCGCAGAATGCTGGAGCTGCAAAGGGCAGCCATTGCTTCCAACTACCTGGGGAACTTTTTTTTTTTTTTTTTTTTTTTTTTAGGCAGAGTGGACAGTGAGAGAGAGAGACAGAGAGAAAGGTCTTCCTTTTTGCCGTTGGTTCACCCTCCAATGGCCGCCGCGGCCGGCGCGCTGCGGCCGGCGCACCGCGCTGATCTGATGGCAGGAGCCAGGAGCCAGGAGCCAGGTGCTTTTCCTGGTCTCCCATGGGGTGCAGGGCCCAAGCACCTGGGCCATCCTCCACTGCACTCCCTGGCCACAGCAGAGAGCTGGCCTGGAAGAGGGGCAAGCGGGACAGGATCCGGCGCCCCGACCGGGACTAGAACCCGGTGTGCTGGCGCCGCTAGGCGGAGGATTAGCCTAGTGAGCCGCGGCGCCGGCCTAGGGAACTTTTGATACCTGCAGTGCAGTGTTAGCATCGCACAAGGTTATGATTGGTTTCTTCTATATTCTAAGTTCCACAAAGATAAAGCCGTGTTTTATTTCCTGTATTCTCAGGAATCTTTTAACCAACTTAAATCCATAAACATTTTTGTTTGTTTATAATTTTTAATTTTTTTTATTTTTTTGACAGGCAGAGTGGACAGTGAGAGAGAGACAGACAGACAGAAGGTCTTCCTTTTCCATTGGTTCACCCCCCAATGGCTGCTGTGGCTGGTGCACCGCGGCTGGCACACCGCGCTGATCCTAAGCCAGGAGCCAGGTGCCTCTCCTGGTCTCCCATGCGGGTGCAGGGCCCAAGCACTTGGGCCATCCTCCACTGCCTTCCCAGGCCACAGCAGAGAGCTGGACAGGAAGAGGAGCAACTGGGACAGAATCCAGCGCCCCAACCGGGACTAGAACCCGGGGTGCTGGTGCCGCAGGTGGAGGATTAGCCAAGTGAGCCGTGGCACTGGCCTGTTTGTTTATAATTTAACTTCCCACTTTTACCAAAGTTAGACCTACTGCAGTGCACCGGACACTTTTCCTCCGAAGGTCTGGCTGTTTGAGTCTCCTGAACAGGCAGATTACCAAGTGAAAACCATCACAGGTTGGTTCACCAGGGCTTTCTGTGCCAGGGAGCCTTCGAACTGGGGGCTCAGAGGCCCAGGGCGCACCGTCTGCTTTTACACCTAGGTTTGCTGAAGGATGCAATGGAACGGTGAGCGCGTGGGAGGAAGCCCAGTGAGGCCCTTCTGTTCAGACCCTTCCAGGCCTCTCTGCAGAGCGTTCCTTCCTCCTGGGCATGGGGCGAGACCCTTTCTGGAGTGGGGGTGGGAAGGCCTAGCCACCCGCAGTCAAACGGCGCAGGCCAGGGCTTTCCTGTCTGGTCAGCGGTCACGCAGGAAGGCAGAGAGACATGCAGATACTACTCCTGGGCTTCACGTCTGGTTTTGGGAAGAGGGGGTCTGGCTCCTGTGATCTGCTGGGAGAAGAGGGGTTTGTTTCTAGGGCTTGCCTCAGGGAGCGGGAGAGGCGAGAGAGGGCAGCGGCAGCTCAGAGATTTTGCTTCTGAGACCTTTGCCTGGGCATTGTTTTCCGAGCCCAACAACAGGACACGGTCCACAGAGTCAAACAGCGCCGTGGCACTTGGAAAGACACCCCGAGGTCTCCCTCTGCCCTTCCCTCTCACTCCCCTCTTTTAAGTGTTTGAGTGCCTATCCCCAGGGCTTCTGGGGATATGCTGCCTTTGCTACCCTGTGATTTTTTATAATCACCTACCGCCATTCCTTGCATTTCTCTCCACCCTTCCTGCATGCCACCCCCACACATGCACCCGCCCCTCCCTCCAGCGACTCTGTGAAGCTAGGTCGTAATCCGCATACACCAGAGTGAGCGTTTACACTGCATGGTTTGGCAATGCCATTCACAACTCAGCCACGTTCCGACTTCTGATTATTTTTTCCTTTCCTGTCCGGCTTTCTGTTTTCCCCAGGGTTAATAATTGCTTTGTTCTTACCTGCTTGTTCTTGTATTACCATGAATGTGGGTGCATCAGGGGCTCACAATCTGATCTCCCTGGTGCAGGCTGCACGGCCACCGACCTGAACCCACCCTTGCCCCCTGCCTCAGGTTGTCCTTGGGGTCTCCTCTTTCTGATGCCCTTGGTCTGCCTCTTTCTCTGTTTACCCTCTCACTTTGGTGGAGCACATTGCAAGAACAAATAAAAATTAAACATAAGAGACTTGGTTCTCCCTGTTGAAAATGAGGGACGAGATCTCCCTCCTTCCTTTTCTTAGATATTTTACTTCACTTTTTTTTTTTTTAAGATTTATTTATTTATTTGAAAGGCAGAGTTACAGAGAGGCAGAGGCAGAAAGAGAGAGAGAGACAGGTCTTCCATCCACTGGTTCACTCCCCAAATGGCTCCGATGGTTGGAGCTGGGCTGATCCCAAGCCAGGAGCCAGGAACTTCCTCTGGGTTTCCCACATGGGTGCAAAGGCCCAAGGACTTGGGCCATCCTCCACTGCTTTCCCAGGCCATAACAGAGAGCTGGATTGGAAGTGGAACAGCCAGGACTGGAACTGGCACCCACATGGGAAGCTGGCACTGCAGGTCGCAGCTTTAGCCGCTATGCCACAGCACTGGCCCCAGATTTTTTACTTTAGAAAAACTTGCCATTGTAAGTTTTTCTCTGTTGTTTTGAAATGTTTGTAAACTTTGTTAGAAGTTAAATAAGCCTCTTGGCCATTTTAGGGACCTGGGAATGTTTATCTCAAGGACCTGGGAGCCATCTCTGAAATGTAAGGCAAGGCGTTGGGCTACTGTTAAGACACCATTTAAAATCCCTGTATCCCATGTTATAGTGCCGGCGCCTCTCCTGGCTCCAGCCTCCTGCCAGTGCAGACCCTGGGAGGCATAGAGGGGGGAGGGGCTCAGATAACTGGGAGGCAGTGGGGAGCCCTCTGTATCTGAGGGCTCAGATAACTGGGTTCCTGCCACCCACGTGGGAAACCTGGTTTGTGTTCCCAGCTCCTGGCTCCAGCATTGGCCCATGGAGTTCTTTCTCTTTCTCTCAAATCAATAATAAAAAATAATAAAACAATTTCCCTTTACTACCTTTATGGAGAGGTTTCCTGGATTGGGAGAAGATTTTGTTTTTAATTTTAGTTCTCCACAACATCCACTGGTGGCTCCCTGAGATAGAAACTTTGAAGATAAATTTTTTCTTATTATTGCATTTCTGAAACTATCTTTGCTCTGCCCTCAAACTTAATTCCCAGAGGGCTTTTTTTCTTTTCTTCAGAGTTTGGTGGGCATGATTCCCTTATGTCCTCTGGCTTCCGGGATTGAATTGAGAAATCCCAAACCATTCTGATGCCCTGGCGCCTCCCCTCGAGCAGTGTTGGAGGACACTGTCTTGTCTGCAGTGTTCACAGTGGCGTGGGTTGGGGTGGCCCGATTTTCTCCGTCTGTGCCAGAACTCACAGTTTGGAAACGTCTGTAGTTCTGGGAAACCTCCCTAAAGCGTTTCTGCGATGATTTCTTCCCCTTCCTTTGCTTGCTTGCTTTCTCTTTGTGCAGAACCTACTGCTCAGATACTGGGTCTCCCAGACTGATCGCCTTCGTAGCATCTGCTGCCTGGAACTCCTGCCCCGATTTTTCATTCCCTTGAGTTTTGGCTTCTGTCTGCTGGGGGATTCTTTGACTCTGTCTTCCATTCCTTCTATTTCGAGTCTCAGTTTTGTTTTCTCAATGTTCATTTTGTTCTCTGGCCATGCTTCTTTCTAGCTTCCTGTCATCACTTCATAGATAATATTTCTCATTTCCCTAAAGGCATTGAGGACACACACACACACACACACACACGCACACCCCTGCGTGTGTATTTATATCGTCATCTCCCTGCAGTCTCATTTTCCTGCGGTTGACTGTTCCATGCGCGTCTGGGACTTGCCCATCGTGTTAGATGCCGTCTTCAGCTGCTTGCTTGCCTGGCAGAGCTGGACAGCGAGCCTGCAACAGCTGAGCCCATGCTTTGACTGCACGAGCGAGCGGGGCTTGACAGCCTCAGCTGTCGGAGCCCTTTCTGGGAACTGAATGAAGCACGAGGCTGGGGCAGGGCTCTGTACCCAGATGCCCACATTCATGGAATTCCTCGGCCCTCAGTGGCACAGCCCTGCCCTGCAAACCAGCCCCTCTGCTCACCAGCCTTCTGTGGGGAGGGCAGAAAGGCCATCACCTGGCTGGCCAGAGCTGCAGAGACTCGGGATCTGCCCCCCACCCCTTTTTAGATTTTATTTATTTATTTGAGAGGTAGAGTTACAGACAGTGAGAGGGAAAGACAGAGAAAAAAGTCCTCCCTTGCTAGTTCACTTCCCAAATGGCTGCAGTGGCCGGAGCTGTGCCAATCGGAAGCCAGGAGCCAGGAGCTTCTTCTGGGTCCCCCACACACGTGCAGGGCCCCAAGCACGTGGGCCATCTTCTACTGCTTTCCCAGGCCATAGCAGAGAGCTGGATGGAAGAGGAGTAGCCAGGGCTAGAACCACAAGCCCCTGCCCAATTCAAGCCCAGCCTGCCTGCTCCCCCCGCCCTGCACTGCCCACCCCCACCAACCCCATGTCCTGAAGGAGCAGCTTTTGGGGGATTCAGCAGTATCAGGAGGATAAGTGTTGGCTTTCCCCTCTGCCAGCTCAGGATCTGACTCCCAGGGATCAGTGACATTATTAACCTGTATCCATCTGGTCTCTGGGTTCCACAATGTCAAAGCTGCAGTCTTCTCTGCCAATCTCCCCGTTGGTCCATCTGTGCTTGAGCGTGCATCCGAACTGCTGACCTTAGCTGGGAAGGCAGATAAAATCCAGCACGTTCTTCTCTGGGGTTTCAAGCAAGTTCCTGGTTCCCCGCCCCTCCTCACTCAGCACTGTCCACCCACCCCCGCCCGTTGCTGCCTCCTCCTCCTCCCTCCCGTACCTGGATATGTGGTCCCAGATCCCGGCCAAGGCCCCATATCACCTCTGTCCACAGACTCTCCAACTGATCTCATCCTGTCTCATGATTTTAAATATATGTGTTTTTTAAAATTTATTTGACAGGTAGAGATACAGATAGTGAGAGAGAGACAGAGAGAGACAGAGAGAAAGGTCCTCCCTCCGCAGGTTCATTCACCAAATGGCCACTACAGCCAGCACTGTGCCAATCCAAAGCCAGGAGCCAGGTGCTTCCTCCTGGTCTCCCACGCAGGTGCAGGAGCCCAAGCACCTGGGCCATCCTCTACTACCCTCCCGGGCCACAGCAGAGAGCTGGACTGGAAGAGGAGCAACCGGGACTAGAACCTGGCGCCCATATGGGATGCCGGCACTGCAGGCGGAGGATTAACCAAGTGAGCCACGGCACCGGCCCCTGTCTCATGATTTTATACAATATCTGTTTGCTGGTGACACCCAATTTATATCTCTAGTTCCCTGATTTCTTCCTCTTTGACTAGAAGGCAAGTCCTGGGGAAGTGGAGTTCCGGGCACAGGGAGCAACAGGTGGTGGTGGTGGGGGTGGGGTCTGCCTGGTGCACAGAGCAGCAGCTGCGGTGACCTTGAGCAGGGAGGACCTTCGGTCTGGTGTCTGTTTCTGAGTGCTCGCTTTGGCTGCAGCATGGAGAGTGCATTCAGGAGGCAAGCCCCCCGTACTTAAAGCCCTGTGTTTAAGGTCACAAGCTCACCTTAACCACGCACCTCCTGAATTTCCAGACTGTTGAAGGTGCTATCCATTTGGTGCCCTGAAACTACACATGAATTTCTTTACTTTTTAATTGAAACAAATTTAAATTTTCATTTTATTTGAAAGGCAGAGAGATAGAAAACAAGGGTGGAGAAGAGAGGATGGGGAGAGAATGAAAGGGAGATCTTTCGTCTGTTCATTCATTCTCCAGGGCTACAACAGCAGGGCCAGGCTGAAGCCAAGAGCCAGGAACTCTGGGTCTGCCGTGTGGGTGGCAGGGACCAAGTACTTGAGTCATCACCCGCTACCTCACAAGGTATACATTAGCACGAAGCTGGAATTGGGAGCAGAGCCAGAACTTGAACCCAGCTCCTCCAATATGGGATTTGGGTGTCTCAAGCCGTGCGTTAATCACTGTGCCAAACACTCACCTTCTATACCTACCCCTAAGCCAGAATTTCTGTGCCATCCTTTGTGATAAGAGATCCATTTATACAATCTGTGTTAAAGAGATGCAGTTGTGTCCGCAGAATTGCAGCACAGGGTCAGCAAGAGCTTGATCTCTTCTGTCCCGCGATAGGTGGGGAGGTGACGATGGCCTCTCTAGACACAGTGAGGCGTGCGTTTCAGCATGGAGCTGTGTGGCTGGCTGGGGCTGTGACAGAGCAGGCAGGGGCTCTGTGAAGGGGTGGGTGCCTCTCCCTCTTTGTGTGGTTGCTGTTTGTCTTCATGGGGCTGCTGCTTCCTCCCTGGGTACTGCCTGTGCACCTGGGAGCCACAGGGAAGGAGGCACAGATGGACACAGGAGGTAGCCTGGGACGACGTACTTCCCTCTGGCGTGCGAGTTTCTGTGTTCTGTACGAGAGATAGGTTTCGAGAACAGTTTCTTTCTCCACCCTCCCTGTGGTCATGATTCGATCTCTGGTCAAGATATGATTCTGCTTACTGGAAAGATGGGTGGAGGCCCTGTCCTGTATAGCATGCTCCGGCATCTGGCGAGAGTCTGTGGGTCTCTGGTTTCCTTTCACATCAGACGATCCTGATGGGGGAAAAGCCATCCAAATGAACAGCTTGTAGACCTCAGCTATGGCTGAGTCCCGGCTCATTCCTGCTGCCCTGATGCAGAGGCCTTGGGGATTTTCTTCCACATCCAAGGGGCTTCCTCTTCCTCCTCCTCCTCTCAAGCAATCTCTCACTTCCACCTTTTAGTCTGGGTGCCTAGGTAGTCTCAGAGCAAACCCATTAGCCACAGGAAGCAATTAAGAACTCAAGTTTACATGTTTGATATTCAAACCTGCAGTTTTAAAAAATTTCTTATTTTTCATTTTATTTGGAAGGCAGAGACAGAGAGGGATGAAAGAGAGAGAAGGGGAGAGAGAGAGAGATGGAGAGAGACAGAGACACAGAGAGAGGAATCTTCCATCTGCTGTTTCACTCCCCAAATGCTGGCAATAGCCAGAACTGTGCCAGGTCAGAGCCAGGAGCCAGAACTCAGTCTAGTCTCCCATGTGGGTGACAGGGACCCAAGCACTTCAGCCATCACCTGCTGCCTCCCAAGGTGTGCGTCAGGAGGAAGCTGGATCAGAAGCGGAGCTGGGACTTGAAGCAAGTACTCTAGTATGGGATACACAGGTGTCTCAAGCGGCTACTTAACCGCTGCACCAAACGCCCACCCAGGCTTTTTGACTTAAGATTCATAATTATTTTTACTTCTGCCAAAGACACCCTCTAAGGCACCGATTTGAAGTGAATGCTCAGGGAGTGGCAGTGAGAACAAGGAAGGGTGGGGGATGTGGGGAGGAAACTCCATGGGCATTCAGGGGTGTGTTTCCATGGTGTCATCAGAGCGGGGCAGAGACTGCCTATCCCTGGATAGAGAAAGGACATGTTTGGGGCTGGCGTTGTGGCATAGCGGGTAAAGCCACCGCCTACAGTGCCAGCATCCCATATGGGTGCCTGTTCAAGTCCCGGCTGTTCCACTTCTGATCTAGCTCTCTGCTATGGCTTGGGAAGGCACTAGAAGATGGCCCAAGTCCTTGGGCCCCTGCACTTACATGGGAGACCCGGAAGAAGCTCCTGGCTCCTGGCTTCGGATCAGCCCAGCTCCAACCATTTTGGCCAACTGGGGAGTGAACCAGTGGATGGAAGACCCCCCCTTTCTCTCTGCCTCTCCTTCTTTCTCTGTGTAACTCTGACTTTCAAATAAATAAATAAAAATCTTTTATTTAGCAAAAAAAGAAAGGACATGTTTGTCCCACACGAACGGTGCTCCGAGGCCCTCCCCACCCCCAAGCCATGGAGCTCCTACAGCCTGTGCTGAGGAGATGGAGCGGAGCCTGCAGCAGCGGCAGCCACCACCCGCTCGCCTGCACCAGGGGAGCCCAGATGGAGAAAACAGTGGAATCAGGTGTCAGGTCCACAAGGTCAGTGCCAAGGGCACGGCAGAGCCGTGAGACTTCCCTGTAGGGAATGAGTCAGGGGAATGACACGTAGGGGTTCAGCAGAGAAGCCATGTTTGCAAGTGCATGGACCAAAGGCAGAAAGGAGAGTGCATCTTACGGCTTTGCTACTCAAACTGTGATCTGTGGACCACCAGCAGCAGCAGCACCTTGGATCTGGTTAGAAATGCGGCCGGCGCCGCGGCTCACTAGGCTAATCCTCTGCCTAGCGGCGCCGGCACACCGGGTTCTAGTCCCGGTTGGGGCGCCGGATTCTGTCCTGGTTGCCCCTCAGGGAGTGCAGGGGAGGATGGCCCAGGTGCTTGGGCCCTGCACCCCATGGGAGACCAGGAAAAGCACCTGGCTCCTGGCTCCTGCCATCGGATCAGCGCGGTGCGCCGGCCGCAGTGAGCTGGCCGCGGCGGCCACTGGAGGGTGAACCAACGGCAAAGGAAGACCTTTCTCTCTGTCTCTCTCTCTCACTGTCCACTCTGCCTGTCAAAAAATAAAAAAAATAAAAAATAAATAAAAAAAATAAAAAAAAAAGAAATGCTGAATCTCAGGGCCAGTGCTGTGGCACAGCGGGTTAAAGTCCCGGCCTGCAGCACCAGCATCCCATATGGGCACTGGTTTGAGTCCCAGCTGCTCCAGTTCCCTGCTAATGCACCTGGGAAAGCAGCAGAGGATGATCCAAGGGCTTGGGCCCCTGTACCCAAGTGGGAGACCCAGAAGAAGCCCCTGGCTCCTGGCTTCGGATCAGCTCAGCTCCAGCCGTTGTGGTCATTTGGGGAGTGAACCAGTGGATGGAAGATCGGTCTCTCTCCCTACCTCTCTGTGTAACTCTGTCTTTCAAATAAATAAAATAAATCTTTAAAAAAAATGCTGAATATCAGACCCATCCCAGACAGAACTAGCTTTTCCATTTTAGCAAGATCCTGAGATGATTCATAGGTAATTTGTGTTTGAGAGTTGCTGTCTTCCGTGATCCACACGAAGGGCTGAGCACCTAGAGGAAGGTGGGTGTCCAGGGCTTATACAAGTTCCTGGAGATTTACTGCTCACGGTTTGCAAGGGTCTATAAGTTACTAGATTATATGGCAACCGAACGTGGAGCTCTCTGGGCAAGCACAGTTAGGGAACTACTGCTGGTCAACCTTGTCCTGGGTGGACCTCAAAGCTTGCATCTTTAGGGCGCGGAGGGGCCAGGAGGGGGCATTGATGTTGTGGTGCGGTGGGTTAAGCTGACACTTGAGGAACTGGCATCCCATATCACAGTGCTGATTCGAATCTCAGCTTGTTCTGCTTCCAATTCAGCTTCCCGCTAATGAGCCTGGGAAGGCAGTGGATTTTGGCCAAAGTGTTTGGGCCCCGACCTCCCACTTGGGAGACCCAGATGGAGCTCCTGTCTTCTGGTGTCAGCTTGGCCCAGACCCGACTGCTGCAGGCATTTGGAGAGTGAGCCAGCACATGGCTGATCTCTCTCTCTCTCCATCTCTCCCTCTATCCCTCTCTCCCTCTCTTGCAGTAGCTCTGCCAAATAAATAAATAAATAAATACAGCTTTTTTTTTAAAAGCTTGTACTCTCACATCTTTCAAGCTGTTTACCAAAACCAGTTTTATGTTTCTATGCAACAGCCTTCTTTGTACATATGTGGGGTCTTTGAAAAGTGCATGGCACATCCGGAAAACATTATATATGAATTTCAGTCTTTTTGCATCAAAATATACTTATCTTTTTTATAAAAAGATTTATTTTATTTATTTGGAAGGCAGAGTTACAGAGAAGAGAGAGAGATCTTCCATCTGCTGATTCACTCCCTAAATGGCTACAACTGTTGAGGCTGGACCAGACTGAAACTAGGAGCCTGGAACCCCATCTGGGTCTCCCACGTGGGTGACAGGGTCCCAGGTACGTGGACCATCTTCTGCTGCGTTCCGGGGTGCTTCAGCAGGGAGCTGGATCAGAAGCAGAGCAGCTGGGTCTTGAGCTGCTTGTATCAGATGCCAGCACTGCAGGCAGTGGTTTAACGCAGTGTGCCACAATGCCAGCTCCTACACTCATCCTTTAATTCCATTTCCCACATTTCTAAAAGTATCCTCCTCTATCTTTGCCTACTTGTATAAGTGGTTTCTGTTGGAAAGTGGGCATGCTTAGAATTTCTGTAGAAATTGCCAATTGCCATTGGTATTCCTGTTGGGGTGCTCAGAACATGTGTTCTCCATGCTCGTGCCAGCATGACTTATGATTGGTCTTTAAGATTTTGGCATTTGAATACACACAAATATTTATTTTATTTATTTATTTATTTATTTGAAAGTCAGAGTTACACAGAAAGAGAAGGAGAGGCAGAGAGAGAGAGAGAGAGAGAGAGAGAGAGGTCTTCCATCCGCTGGTTCACTCCCCACTTGGCTGCATCGACCAGAGCTGCGCCGATCCGAAATCAGGAGCCAGGAGCTTCTTCCCAGTCTCCCATGCGGGTGCAGGGGCCCAAGGACTTGGGCCACACACACACACACACACACCACGGCTTTCCCAGGCCATGGCAGAGAGCTGGATCGGAAGTGGAGACGCCAGGACTAGAACCGGTGCCCATATGGGATGCTGGCACTTGAGGCCAGGGCATTAACGCGCTGCAGCACAGTGCCGGCCCCACAAAGACTCTCAGGTTGAGTTCCCCATGTTTAGTAGCCAGTTGTATCAGTTTCCCTCTGCTTGTTTGTGTGGTTTTCCCATTACTGCTTTGTATTAACTTTTAGGATAGTGAGAAGTTAATTTTGGTCTCTTATGGTTTACAGATATTTTCTTTTGATCTCATTTAAGACCAGTGTGTGAGAGCCAGGGACAGGTGCATGTGCACGCACACACACCCTTAAAGTGTAGAAATGTATAACTGTTAGGTAGTGTCTCAGTCTGCTTTGTGCTTCTGTTGGAGAACATCTAAGACTGGGTAATTTACACAGAGATTTCTTACGGTTCTGGAGGCTGACAAATCCCAGGTCCCAGGACCTACCTATATGATGCAAGGGGCTCCTGCTGTGGCATCCCATGGCAGAAGGCAGGAGGGCAAGAGAATACGAGTGTGTGTCGGGGACAGGAAGCGGGGTGTTGAACTCACTCTTTTATCAAGAACTTAGACTCATCTACCACAATAACGTCATAAACATAACCCACGACCACAATAGCATCGTAAATCCATCCATGAGGGCAGAGTTCTCATGACCTAATCCCTTCTTAATGTTTCCAGCTCTCATCACTGTTGCACTGGGGCTTAAATTTCCAACATGTGGACTTAGGGGTACACATTCAAATCGTAGCTGTTTGTCATGTTTATTTCTCATGTCCTTCATGGCTTATGGGTTTCATGTCTATGTCATGTTCTTAGCTTGTATGTCAAAAAGTGCACCCAAGAAAAGGTTATGCTTACATCTTAAAAATCTAATCCTTGGGGCCGGCGCTGTGGTGCAGTGGATCAAAGCCCTAGCCTGAAGCGCTGGCATCCCATATGGGTGCCTGTTTTAGTCCCGGCTGCTCCTCTGCCCATCCAGCTCTCTGCTATGGCCTGCAATAGTGGTAGAAGATGGCCCAAGTCCTTGGGCCCCTGTGCCCACGTGGGAGACCCGGAAGAAGCTCCTGGCTCCTGGCTTCGGATCAGCGCAGCTCTGGCCATTGCAGCCATCTGGAGAGTGAACCAGCAGATGGAAGACCTCTCTGTCTCTACCTCTCTGTAACTCTGTCTTTCAAATAAATAAAATAAATCTTTTTTAAAAAAATCTAAGCCTTTGCTTCATGTAAAATAAATTTTGATTAAAAGGAAAAAGTTAAGAATCCACCCTATTTGCTTTCCCCAAATGGTTAGCAGATTGTAGTTATGGATTTTTCCATAGGACAGATTTCCCCTGCTGCTTTGAAATGCCACCTTTAAAATCATGTATTGAATTTTCATTTGTACTTGAGTTCATTTATCTGCCTGCCAGTTCCATGCTTGTGCCTTTTAAACAATAGTGGCTGCTGCGCTGTGGGTTTAATGTCTGGCAGGCCCATCTCACCAACAGGGCTCTTTTTTTTCTCACCTGAGAAGTTCCTTGGCTTTCTCATCTATTTATTCTTGGAGACAATAAAAATAATAGGGCTAACATCCACACACTTCTTCTGTGCCAGGTGCTGTTATAAACACTTTATTTGTGAGAATTAATCCAATCTTTTATTGTGGAAATTTTCATTATTGGCATCCGACACCCAAGGGTGCAGTCACAGAAACGGTGAGCACCTTGCTTATGTTTGCGCAGTGGAACGCAGACTCATTCTCTGACTGTTTTGGTTGGGACTACATTTAATTTCACAGTCTTTACCACATTCTCTAATTGTTTCTTAAAATGTTTTCCACTGGTCCTTCCAAATTCCAGGAACCCAGTCATAGCCCCTACAGATTATGCTAATGGAGCCTCCTTCTCTGTGCATCACGTTTGCTGTTCATGCTCTTCTCTGAGTAAGGCTTTTAGAACTGTTATGAATGAAGTGGTGATAATGCCCTCCCTTGGTTGTTCCTGCCCCTAATGGGTTGCTTTTAGGCAGTACCATTAACCACGGTGCTTGGGTTAAGTCACAGAAAATATCTTTACGATTTTCATGAAAGTTAAATAGACTCAGGAATGGATGTTGGATTTCATCAAACACTATTTTGTTATTTATATTTTTCTTTGTTAGTATAGACATTATATCAAATTTCCAAATATTGAACCAATTAACAAATGATGCTGTCTGATTTTAATGACCACTGGATTCTATTTGTTAGTATTTAACTTGGTAATATTTTATAATATCCCTAAGGGCGGCTGGGTTGCAGATTTCTCTTTCTGTGCTGTCTTTAGCAAGTTTCAGAGTAGGAATTCTGGTGCGAGAGTAAATGCGTGTGAGAAAGCAGCTGTCGGAGCTGGTGTGTTTGCTGGGATGCCTTTACAGCTTTTGGGATTTCATCAGACTAAAAAGCTTCTGCGTAGCAAGGGAAACAATCAGCAAAGTGAAGAGACACCTACAGAATGGGACACAATATTTGCAGATTCTGTGTCTGATGAGAGGTTAAGACACAGAATACTTAAGGATCTCAAACAAACAATAGCAACACCCCCTCCCAATCCTCAGTCAGGTTAAAAATGTATAAGAGGCTGAATAGTCATTTCTTGGAAGAGGACATACAAAGTGGCCAACAGGTATGTGAAAAACCACTCAACATTGCTAATCATCAGGGAAATGCAAACCAAAACCACAATGAGGTATCATTTGACTCTA